CCAACCCCAATTAAGTTCAAGGCAATTGACACGCACCATAATTGAGAGAGAGAGAGAGAGAGAGAGAGAACCTGTTAGTGAGCGTTTCACTTCTTAGGTTCATTAGTAGTTTTCAAAGCCAACAAGTATGCATATTTTCTCATCCAATAAACTAAATGTTTGAGTCCCCAAAAAATCATTTGTTAAACTACTAGATTGAACATTCTTGAGAGAGAGAGCATTTGGTAACGGAAAGCTGCTAGTGAGCCTCTCACTTTTTAGTTCCATTAGTAGTTTTCAAAGCCAACAAGTTTGCATATATTTTCTCATCCAATAAACTAAATGCTTGAGTCCCCAAAAAATCATTTGTTAAACTACTAGATTGAACATTCTTGAGAGAGAGAGCATTTGGTAACGGAAACCTGCTAGTGAGCCTCTCACTTTTTAGTTCCATTAGTAGTTTTCAAAGCCAACAAGTTTGCATATATTTTCTCATCCAATAAACTAAATGTTTGAGTCCCCAAAAAATCATTTGTTAAACTACTAGATTGAACATTCTTGAGAGAGAGAGCATTTGGTAACGGAAAGCTGCTAGTGAGCCTCTCACTTTTTAGTTCCATTAGTAGTTTTCAAAGCCAACAAGTTTGCATATATTTTCTCATCCAATAAACTAAATGCCTGAGTATCTAAAAAATCATTTGTGAAATTACTCTACTATATATTACAGACTTTTTTTTCATCACTTACATCCAATTCACTTGGTCCAATAATTGATGAAATATATAATTTGTCAAAATTCAACCAAAAATGTGAATTTGTGTGGACGTATCTTATTCCGTAATGAATGCCATTAGATTCTTTTGCATGAAGTATAATTTTTTTCTCAGTAAGTTTACCGGCACTATAGTTAAGCTAGATCGAAAGCAGAATCATTGTTCATCAATAATGAAGATCAGTAAAACCCAACAAAATTAAGATCAAGCAACTACTGCTAACTAATTAAACTCTCAGTTCACAAACAGAACCCAACTGAATTTAGATCAATAAAGAACATTTCAAACCCAAAATTAAACCCAGATCACCTTTGAAATCATTAAAACCCAACAAAAGGATAGATCAAGCAACTAGTACTAACTAATTAAACTCAGTTTACAAACAGAACCCAACTGAATTCAGATCAAGGAACAACATTTCAAACCCCAAAATTAAACCCATATCACCTTCGAAAGAGCCTCGACGATGGTATCAAGAATATGCCTCGACTGTCGATCATAATACTCCTCAACAGTGAGCTTCCAACCCGGGTCATTATGCGAATGAGGGACCACAAAAACCTTCAAGGTCTCCGAATCCCACTCGTTCCCTTCGTATCTCACCCTCCAACCCTGCTTCCACGGCCCAGAAGTGAGGAGTCCATTAGACAGAGGGCGATGTCGATGGCGATGTGCGACGGACGTGAGCAATGGTGGTAAGGGACTTCGGTGAGCTAGAGAGAGTGGGCACCGATTGAGAGAGAGAATACAGAAAGAGGGAGGGGCGGGCCAACATAGAGAGACACAGATTAGGGCTTTTTTTAGATAGAGACAAGGGAGATCAGGCTTTAATTTTTTTTCTGTCGAGCACCAAATGGGCAATGTCAGATGGGACGATTTCTTCTTCGGAGAGGTGGGTTTCGAGGGTGTCTTGCCATTGATTGTGGTGGTGGGTTTTGAGGATGTCACAGAGTTCGTTGACGAGTCGCTTGATGTGGGGTTTGAAGGAGAAGGAAGGGGAAGAACTGGGTTTGGGGTTGTGACGAGGTTTGATGCGGGAGAGAAGGGTTTTCGACATGAGAGAGAAAATGAGGTTTGGGGAGTCATCTGCTACTTCGAAAGTTTTGTTCCTTTCATTGTTCCACACTTGCAAGTTGCAATAGTAGTAAATGGATACAACTAATGAGAAGTGCGACGGTGGTTCAAATTTCATTTCCCCCCTCCATCTTTCAAATTTCCCCCCAAACTTTTGGCGACCAAAAGATCAAATTAGTCGCAAAAACAGGTTCTTTCGCCGACAAATTTTTTTGGTCGCCAAATCTCAATTAACGGCGGCTAAAATATTAGTCACTAAAAGTACTAATTTGGCGACTAATTTTTTTTGGTTGCTGAAAATAAGTTTTTCGCGACCAAATTTTTGGTCGCCAAAAAATATGTGACCTTCCGCGACCAAATTTGTAATTGGTCGGCAAAAGTATACCACTTTCTGCGACCAACATATTTTTTGGTTGCCAAAATATAACCTTCTGCGACCAATAATATTTGGTCACCAAAAATAATGATCATTCGCGACTAATTAATATTTGGTCGCCAAATGTCATTTTTTTTGCGACCAAAATTTTTTTGGTCGGCAAAAGTGGTCGCAAAATGTGTAAATTCTTGTAGTGCTGGCTTCACCATTAATTCAACAACCTTTGAAATAGGTATGTTTCTGGCCCCTATTTTAAATTTTCCTAATTGTATTTACAATGTTTCACTACCTATATAAAAAAAAAAATTACGTTTCCTTATACTTTGCCTATTTACTAATGATTCATAGGTTTCACATTTGATTTAATATTTCCACGGCTCCTCAAAGTACAATTTACTAGTTTGTCGAATTAGCTTATGTTACACTTTCTTTACATTACCACTGATCCTTTCTTCACTGTTATAGCTGCATTACAAGCTGAAAACTCTATGCCTGATCCTCATAAAGGTTTTACTCAACAACAACTTTGTTTCTTAAATATGGCAATATTTTTTAAACAAAACTCGAGTACTTCTACACTCTTTATAGGACTTTGTTGTGAACGTAAAAGAAGCTGACGAATCCATGAAAAGAGGATTGCAACTAAGCCTTTCATTTTACCAGATAAACCACCCTGTAGTTTATGCTGCGCCAAAAAATATTTTCTTGAACCTAATGGTTTTTGCTGTTGCAATGGACAAATTGCATTGTACAAGAACAGAATTCCAAAAGATCTATATGATCTGTTCATGGGCCAATCTACATCTTCTAATCATTTTTTAAAGTTTATTCGTGCATACAACAATTCATTTGCATTCACTTTGTTTGGTGTTACCACTGACAATGACTTGTCGAGAAGAAATAAGGGAATATATGCATTTCATGTTCAAGGTAAGGTTTACCATTACATCAACTATTTGTATCCTTCAAGTGACCAACCTTGCTACCTATAACTATTATTTTATGATATTGAACATGAAATCGAAATAGACTTAAAATTTCCAACAACTTTGAGCCAAGCATTCTCTTTTAATGCACATCATGAATTTGAATACATATTCTGTTTTCTTGCGAAGTTTACGAGACGTTCCAGACTTGCATGCTCATCATATTGTTATCCAGGCTGATCCAACTTTAGATCTTCAAACTCATAATCCTCCCATAGCTTCTCAAGTTGCTGCGATGTGGAAAGAAAATGACGAAGCTACTGAATATAGAGAACGCGACATAATTGTGAAGAAGCATGAAGGTCAATCTGAAAGGATTAGGTACTATTACAGTTGCTACGATCCTCTTCGATATTCAATACTTTTTCCTTTAGGTGAGCCAGGATGGCATCAAGGAATAGCCAAATGCCCCAAAAAAAAACCTCCAAAAAATCTCAAGGCCAATCCTTAGTTTCGCCACGACAAGCTTCCAAAGCTGCTGACCTACTAGTGACAGAAGCTTCAGGTGCGCAATACAAATAGATTCTACTAATACACCTATTGTTCGTTAACTATTTCTATATTTAGATATTTGTAATTCCTTTCAGTTTTTGAGGAACAATCAAAGAAAAAGAATATGGTCTCTGCTCGCGAATATTATTGATATCGATTTCAAACTAGAAATGACAGATGGGTCAGGCCGCCTCCTGCAACAATTTGCACACTTGGAGAATCAAAGAGCGCTAATATTGGTCGAAGAATTATTTTGCCATGATCATTCATAGGTGGTTCTAGAGATCTTTGCAAGCGGTACATTGATGCTATGACATTAGTGCAGCGGTTTGGAAAGCCAGATATATTCTTAACCATGACTTGTAATAGGTCGAGTTTGGATCGGGAGAAGCGATACCCGCCTCCACCCCAACCCCCCATTGTGGGTGACCAAAACATAACCCCTGCCCCACATAAGTGTTGGGCGGGTAAAATCTGCCCCATTCGGACGGGTATGAGCGGGCCCCGTGGATTGGATTAAAATGGCCATTCCTAATCCTTAGTCTCGCCACAACAAGCTTCCAAAGCTGCCGACCTACTAGTGACAGATTCTTCAAGTGCACATTAGAAATTAATTCTACTAATTCACAGCTATTGTTTGTTAAATATTTTGGTATTTAGATATTATAATTCATTCCAGTTTTCGAGGAAAACTCAGAGAAAAAGAATATGGTCTCTGCTCGAGAATATTACTGTTATCGATTTCAAAGTAGACATGGTGATGGACCAACTTTGCTACGAGCAGACCATCTACTACAACAATTTGCTGTTGATATGTACGTAAACATTGAAACATCAAAGATTGGACTATTTCCGCACAAAGCAAAAGGAAATAAGATCCGATTTATATCAAGGGATTGTTGATAGCGTTACACTTTAATCAAAAGGTGCTAATATTGGTCGAAGGATCATTTTGCCAAGATCATTCATAGGTGGTCCTAGAACTCTTCGCAAACGGTACATTGATGATATGACATTAGTGCAACGATTTGGAAAACCAGATATATTCTTAATCATGACTTGTAACCCAAATTAGCCTGAAATAAAAAAGAAACTACTGCCAAATGAAGAAGCTCAAAATAGACTAGATCTTTTAACTCGCGTCTTCAAGAGCATATCTGAACATTTAAAAAAGGAACTGATTAAAAAAATAACTCTTCGGTTTTGCTGCAGCATTTACATATGTCGTTGAATTCCAAAAAAGAGGTCTACTTCATGTTTATTTACTTTTCATTTTGCAGCGTGGACATAAACTAAATTCCCCTGAAAACTTTGATTCATTCATATCTGCGGAGCTACCTGATCCTATCAAATATTCCCATTTGCATTCAATGGTTATCAAACACATGATGTATCGATCTTGTGGCTTTTTAAATAAAAATAATATTTGTATGAAAAACTGGTCTTGCAAAAACCGCTATCCAAAAAGGTTCAATCCTATGACAACTATGGCAATGGACGGGTAACTGATCTATAAACGCCGCAACAATGGCAATGAGACAAAAGTTCGGGGTCATCTGTTAGATAATGCATGGGTTGTGTCTTATAACCCATATCTTCTTGCCAAGTTTGATTGTCAGATTAATGATGAGATTCACTCTACTATTAAGGCCGTTAAGTACTTGTACAAATATATTTACAAAGGCCATGACAAATTAGCATTTAATGTAGTTGAACAACATGACAACGAAGAATTTGATGAGATTGCTCAATACCAATCAGCAAGATGGATATCACCTCCTGAAGCAATGTGACGAATATATAGATTTGTTTTGATTGAAACCCACCCCACTGTTATAAGTTTGCAAAGACGGTTTTCAAATGGTTAGCTTCACAAACACTTCAACTTTGAAATCCTCAGTAAACTTTGACTTTTGCTCGAGAACTATGTTGATAGAGTTCTTCACAATGAATAGAACAAATAGTAAAGCCAAAGTTGAGCAACTTTTGTATAGAGAATTTACCAAGAAATTCGTGTGGGTTCCAACTGATAGAATGTGGTATGAAAGAAAACAAAAAACCGTTATAGGAAGAATTATAAATCTAACTGAAGGTGCACGCTATTATTTACGGTTATTGTTGAACCATGTAAGAGCTCCAACATCATTCCAAAACTTGAAAATAGTTAACAGAATAGTATGTGAATCCTTTAGACAAGTTGCTCTTCAACGTAGTCTACTTGAAGATGATGACAGTCAGGAAAAGTGCCTAGATGAAGCAACAAACTTTCGGATGCCTTCTTCGCTAAGACAGCTTTTTGCTACTATTCTTGTCTATTGCAATCCCAATGATCCAAAGGCACTATTCTCAAAATTTGAGAAATCTATGGCAGAGGACTCCCTTCAAAAAGTAGATATGTCGATAGAACAAGCGCGGTACCAAGTGTTGCAACATATCAATTCTACTCTTGAATCCATGGGGAAAAACATCCAACAATTTCATTTGTCTGATTTAGTTGTTCCAATAAATGAAAGAGACATTACTTGCAAAGAATTGAGGAAGAAAAAAGTCTTGTAGTATGTAGAGAAGTTCTATCATGTGTATCAATGTTGAACCCAGAACAGCAACATGCATATTCTAGAATTATACAAGCTGTGCAACTAGAGAAACTAGCATATTTTTTTTATAGATGGACCCGGTGGTAGTGGAAAAACATTTCTTTACTGTGCTTTGTTGGCTACGGTCAGAACAGAACAAAAAATTGCTCTTGCAAAAGCAACTTCTGGCATTGCTGCATCAATTCTACCGAACGGTCGCACTGTTCATTCTTGATTCAAAATTCCCATAGACATTGATGCAAAATAAACTCTTGCAATGTTAGCAAACAAAGCAGTCTTGCGAAACTTCTAAAAGCTACTTCACTTGTAATATGGGATGAATCATCTATGGCAAGATGACAGGCCATTGAAACTGTCGATGAATTGGTAAGAGACATAACAGATTCAAATCTTCTCTTTGGCGGAAAAGTTATGAATTTTGGTGGTGATTTTCACCAAGTTTTACCTATTTTTCCTAGAGCTATAAGAAATGAATGCATATGCAAGCCTTGTGAAATCGGAAATTTGGCATTCATTAGAAAAAATCAAGCTTTAAGAGAACATGTGTGCTAAACATGATCCAACCTTTAGCTATTCCTTGCTTCGTATTGGAAATGGATTAGAGACTCAAGATTTTGATGGCGAAATCACATTTCCGTCATCTATGATTCTTCCTTCTCTTGAAGCTGTAGATCCTCTCCAACAATTAATTGATTTTGTTTTTCCACAATTTCACAAGTATTCGACTGATGCCCCATCAATGATGGATTGTGCCGTACTAAGTCCCAAAAATGAAAATACTGATGAAATTAATGAATTATTGATCAAGAAGTTTCCTAGAAACATGCAAGAATACTTAAGCATTGATGAAACCATTGATACAAGCCAACAAAGTCAATACGAAGACTTTTTGAATTCTCGTCACCTAGCTGGTTTGCCACCCCATAGACTCTTGCTGAAGAAAAATTGCCAAATTCTCTTACTTCGAAACATAGATCCTTCAAAAAGCTTATGCAATGAAATGAGTTTAATTTGTCATCACTTTGACAAGCATGTGATCATTACTGAGATAGCAGTCAATCCTTGTGAGGGCAATATTGTGTTCTTGCCTCGCGTACCTTTGCAACCTTCAGACGACAAGATGTACTCTGTTCACTTTATAAGGCACCAATTTTCAGTTAGACCATTAATAAAGCCCAAGGTCAAACCTTAGATGTCGTGGGTATTTATTTGCCATAACCAGTTTTCTCCCTTGGCCAGTTATACATTGCATTACCTCGAGCTACAAGCGCAGCTAAAGTTAGAGTTTTAGTTGAATCACCAATTTCTAATAATCTCTTAACTAACCGTTCCAAAAATATCATCTACCAGGAACTATTATGTTGACGCAAAGCATTTGATTCTGTAACTAAACTGTATGGTTAAGTATATTGCATACAAATAACAATTACAAATAAACATGGCTACTATATTAATGATTTGCTTACTGTACTTTTTGTAAATAGTGTGTTTGCTGCTGATTTCAGCTTCGATTCTAGAGGTGGAGGCCTTCGATCTAAACAATTCTAAGCGAAACAACGGCAGAATTGGAAGAGTTCATTGAACTTTAGTTTGTTAGCAACTGAACAGAGTGTAAATATCATGTAATTTGGGTTTGTTTAATGCTATGCTTCTTTTTGTTTCTTTTTTGGTTTTCCAATGTTATGTTCCATTTTCAATTGCATTTAACATTATACATTGGAGTGCTTGCTGCTGATATATATTAATTCGGTGCATTGGTTTTTCATCACAAGCTTATTCTGTGTACACATCAGTGTACTGTGGCAGCATTTAGTTTTCCACGGTTCAAAAGTTCGTACGGTGATGGTTTTTCCTGTTCAAAGTTTGTGCATCAAGCATGAAAGGTGTGAGTTTGTGTAGATCACTTGTTGAAGAATTGCTGTTAAAAGGGTGCTTTATACTAACTTCTATCAGTTTCTTTTATAGTTGAAAAATGCTTGGTAGTTCGAATTTGTGTAACCCGAATCGCTCGAATGTATCAAAACGATATCGTTTGAAAATTCAGACTATCAAGCATTGTTGTTTATAGTTTTGATTCACTGTTCCAAACGTTTTTGTGCTCTTCATATTACGACATTAAATTTGCTCAATTTTTAGTCGATGGTTTTTACCTGATATGGTCCTCTGTTTTTGCTGATTTGAGCTGCTTTGCCTTCTTCTGTTCTGATACTGTGTGGCTTAACTATATTGGTTGCTTTCTCTTGTGGTAGTCTTGTGGTATTTTGAAAATATGAAGATTTGATTTTTTAATTTCAATCTCAACAGCTCTAATTGATTGCACATATTCGATTAAGTTCATTATTTATGAATTACGCATATGGATAATTTTAAATAATTTCTAATTAATTGAAGAAAACCAAATGCCATTGAATTGCAATTAAATTATTCTTCTTTAATATTAGTATTTTATTTTGTTCATTCCAGACAAATAATTAACTCCCACATACAATTTTGACCCAAAAAACAAAATTACAAAACTAACAATATTATAAGATTAAATTTCCTCAATTTTTAGTTCGTGGTTTACCTGATATGGTCCTCGGAAGAATTCTAGTTGATTACTCAAAATGTATGAAAATACATTATATTATACAAGATTGTAAAATAATACAAATTATTTAAAATCTTTATCGTATAAATTCTATTGGCATGTTTGATTTGGTGGATTAGAGCATGGGATTGGCATGTTTGATTTGGTGGATTAGAGCATGGGATTGAGATTATTAATCCGTAAGGTCAATTATCCTATATTTGTTTTAATATTTTGGTTTAGAATTATTAATCTAATGAATAATTAATCCATCAAATTTGTAGGATTATTAGTAATGGGGTAGGGGTGTAATTATTAATCTAATGGATATTAATCCAATTGAATAATGAATACCACACTAATTTAATAAAATTATTAATATTTTACTATTAATATTGTGAATCAAACCTGAGATATGTGTTCTTAGCTGTGGTATTGTTATGATCGTTTATAGTTAGATGGTGCTTAGTTTGCCATTGTTATGGGTTGTTGGATATCTCCTATCATCAAACAAACGATCTCTAGTAAGAGGTCACTTCGTAAAGATCTGTCAGATTGCACTTGTTGCGGCCAATCACCTTGATCCACTCTCTTGGGATTTATGTGGTCGATCACGTTCTGATCTCCAATGTTGGACTTCCTTTCCCCCTTGAGCCGACTTGGGCCTATGTCTCATTTGTTTGGGGAGTTAGAGAGAGAATTATGATTAGTAGTGAGGTGGAATCTATTAATGTTGTGTTTATTTTGAGAGATATGATGGAGATTGATAGTAAGCTCTGGATTAAGATGAGCCTTCCCAATGAGATTCTGATGGGCCTCGAGGACTTAGTATTAGAAAAATAGTTCGGCGGACTAGAAATTTTTTATTTTTATTTTATTTTTATTTTTTAAAATTTTTTTACATGTTGGGCATTTTTTTTAAAACATTAATGTTTAATATTTTTTTATTTTTTTATTTTTTTTATTATTTTATATTTATTTTATATACAAATAATTTAACAATCCCTACACTAACAACTATCATCAAAATAAATACAATTTTACTTAATCCTCTCACTATCAATCTCCTCACTAACAATCCCCTCACTATTAATCCACTCACTATCAATCTCCTCCTTCTACTTCTGAAAACAAACGGGGCTTATGTCTTGTTAATGTGTGACCTCAGGGCACGTGTTAAAAGGCTTAACAAGATTGTGCATTCTTTATTGCACTGACTTTCATGCGGAATGTACAGTCTTCTTAAGTTTCTTAATATGTGTCCTAAGGCCACGCGTTAATGAAATTCATATATAATAATAGCACGCAACTTTAGAAAATAAAACGTGCTAATTCAGAGGAAGGTGAGGATTCGTGTCTGACCTGGAATAAAGCTTCTATTAACCTTACCAAATCAAAGGAAGAGACTGCATCCTTTAGGTAAAGTAAGACATGCATAAATCCACAGGTGAAGATGAGGCTGCAAGGTTGTAAATTCACAACTTTTTGTGAGAGAATGTCACAGGGAAATAATCCTGAGAATCTGAGATGAAATTACTTATTCTGCTTTTATTGCTTGTCCTCATTGAACTAAGAGTAGAATTACTTGCTTATTTTCATGAATAAATTTTCACTGTCATACCTTTCAACCATCCTAGGAGAAATGAGAGAAGCATAGCATGGTTGGGTACTTGTAAAAGGGTGAAAAGGTGGTGAGTAATAGCCCCTGAGTGCTCACAGGTTAAATAGATTTACATAAAGGTGATAAGATACTGTTCGGATGTTACCCATCAAAAAAAAGAAAGATAATGTTCCGATGTTTGATCAGAATTTGCAATTGATTGGTCAGCAAAATGGGCGAAGTGTTAGGGTAAAAGAGTTGATTGGGTAGGGAACCCATGGCACTGTAGAATTCAACAGACAAGTCTACCCTGCGTGGAATTGATGTGATGTTGGTGTGATGCAAAGTTGAGAAGGGTTTTGATGAAGTTGTTTCCTGTATGGTAACACAAATTTCTAGTATGGTCAAGCCGTATTCTCTACATAATGTGATGCTTGAAAACGACTAGATTTTTTGAAATAATGGATGTATTTGCATTAGGGCTCTAGGTGTTAGAAAAAACATAATTCATTTAACTGTTTAACAGTACGTCATCCATTAGTTGAAAAAGAGAAGGTCCAAACAGTGACCTGACAGTTCAATTGGTTTGAATAGGAATTCCCTGCCTTGATTTCCAATCTCTATAAAAGATTAAGCTTTCAACCTGCTAAAGTTGCCACTGTACGCATCAATTATCAATCACTTCAGGCATGGTGGTGTGGGTTTATACTGTTGAACATGAACATCGATTATTATGTCATTTAGGTGTCAGAGCTACTTTCTTCTATGTATGTTGATCATAAGATTCTTT